ACAGTAACAACATATTCTGCTTACATTAAAAAAATTTAGATATTTTACTCTATTATTTTAATTTCCTTCAACTTTATAGTCTGGCTTCATCACAGAGTTTTTCTGAACTAAGTAAATGAAAACCCCAGATAACAAAAAATGGCCAAAACATCTTTTATTGGTGGTAACTAATTCCACATTGCACTACTTCTTTTTATAAAATCTAATGTATTGATAGATTAAACTGTTCAGCAGTATGTACAGTTAGCTGCCCTTTGGCTTTATGTTGGACGAAATCAATTTAAAGAAAAAGTGATGGACAAAACAGTCTTTTACATCAACAAAATAATCATTTGTTTCAGGAGACAAACCAGCAGGTATGAACAAATTTATCCTTTTTAACAAAGTGCAGCTGTAGAGCAAAGACTCAATGCATCTTTAATAATAAAAAGCTATATTTCCTTATGTAACATTTGATTTCTTATATTGAAAAAAAATCTTAGTTTGTGTCAATTTGTATCACTTTGAGTCGTTTTCAGAAATAATGACAGTATCTTTTCCTTTGTGTTCTGTAACAATAAACACACTATCATTGGGTGTTGACCTGGCCCTCTAAAGGCCTAGTACAAGTTAGACTTACTGTGAATCATGTAAATAATCTGTAGACGTCTTGATAATAAAAACAGCAGCAAGAGAGCACCTCTGATTCTAGGGTCGGATTTTTTATTTTACCTCAACCTATTGTTTCACCTTGGAGATTTAAATAACGGACTAACTAAATAAAATCTCGTAAAATCTTTTCTTTTGAATACGATATGGGTGGTGCTGATTGACCCCTCGATCTTTTGACCTTCCCTGTCCTGCTGCAACACTGAGGCTAAGAAGCCAGAGACACGTATTTCTTCCCCCCTCCACCTCAGTCCTAAGAAATTATGCTGAAATAACACACAAGCTGCCTAATCTGATATTCATTCCTTTCTTATATAGCCCTGCTTTCCAAAGTTGACTAAGGCCACATTATTTAGGCATTAAGGTAGTGTGATAAGGGAATTAGGCTGGTCATTAATCGTTTACACGTCAAATGCAGCAGAGCAGCTCGGGGAGGTGATTTAGTGAGGCAAAGCCATATAGCCCTTGTTAATCCACCTCTCACACGTTTTAATTGGAAGAGGCTTCCTGGATAGGAAATTTATGAATGGATTTAAGGCCATTTCTTCCTTAAAGCCATCATTTATTTCATATTGTTAATAGGAGCTTTAACACTTTATCCACATGGAGACGTATTTTTCTCATCTCCCATTCAGCTATTGTCTTTTTGCACTGGCTGGTTAATTGCCACAGTGTTTTTATGATCCCTGTGCTACAAAAGGAGGGACGCAGCGTAAAGCAGACACACAAATGAAAACAAAGTGTGAAAGCGTTAATATGAGCAACTTTGTGCAGGATTTCCACACACGCAATGCAAATTTTGACATATTTATTTTTTGTATCAAGGCCCCATGTTTGGGTCTCTGCTTGAATCTCCATGACGACCCAAACGTGGATGAACAGAAAACGGCACTATTGACTTAACCCTCCTAGTGGCCTTAAGCTGCTGCTGCTGCTGCTGCAGTGCCAGCATTGTGCAGGCTGAATTTTTTGCCTTCAAATCTTCCAAAGGTCAGAGAATTAATCCTCTGAATAAACCTTGTTTTTAGCAGGGCTGCACACAGGCCACACAGGAGAGAGAGGGAGAGAGAAACGAGGCACGGGAAACATGCATGTGATGGACATTTAATTGTACATTAATATGTGGTGGAGTGGGAAGAATTGCCTTTTAGGAGCCACATAAACAAAGAATGCAGGAGGTTTTCCTGTCTCCTGCCTTTATTCCCGCTTTGTACTTCCATTCTTATTTTTCCCCAGCCTCTGATGTGAAAGGATTTGGCACTAAGATGCACGCAAGGGGAGGGGGGAGGAAAAAATCCTGAAAAGTGGATCAAAAAAGTAAATGAAAAATAATGTCATATTACTGAAAATATGAGAGGCTAATTTGTGCCGACTTTTTGCTAATTTTGTTCTCGCCACAGAAAGAGGAGCCGTCACCTGCTCGGCGCCACAGCGCTGACAGTGCCAGTGATCCATGAAATAAGCTGCCGCTGGCTTTGTTCAGATAAGAATGAACAAATCTGCACAATGTACTGCTCTCGGAATCTCATTTTCATACTTGCATGCAGGCTAAAAGAAATAAGCTGTTTGCAGGCTTGATTAATCAGACATTTGAGGGTTTTTTTTTTTTGTCTCTTTGATCTGTTCTGTCTCCTAGGTAACTTGGTTGACATTAATGTTGAGCCCCAGTAAAGACAATCGGGGAGTGTAGACTAAACAGATACAAAAAAAAAAAGAAGAAAGAAACAGGGAAAATATTAAAGACCTTTAATGCTTTAAATGTAGTAAAAGCTGTGTTGTGAATTTAAAAGAGGGGGAAATGAGGGCCATGGAAGTGGGTTTTAATTTTGCTTTTGGAATGTTCAGGAAGGCGTGTTTTCAAGACCTTTTGCATTTCAAATGCAACCCCACAGGAGAGCAGGTTAATGTGGGTAATCCTCGTGTAGGCAAAAAGAAAAAGCTCTGTCAGTAAATCTCCAAATTAAACCATTTAGCATCATGCAGTTTCGTTTGATTTGCTCCCAGAATGAGCCAGTGTGGCTTTCTTTTTTTTTTTTCTCCTTTACAAACACAGAGAGCAAGAGCTGTTCTCAGATTTGTCAACAATTTAATAAATGTGTGGTTTATAATCTCAGCATGCATCAGAGCCACTCAGAAGCATTTAGCACCTACGCTGCTCTGCCAAGAAGCAGGGAACACCCTGAAGTGGTTTTATCTGCTCGCAAATCTACTGCAAATGTTTGAGCAACCGTCCCCCCCTCCTTGTTATAACTCTCTTAAAGAGGAGAGGGGAGGAGAAAAGAGGAGAAAACATGATTTGAGGAATTTAAAACCTATAAAAATGGCAAAGAACTGGAGAACTGTCATAGTATGTACGCTTCAGGTTATGCAGACGCTCTCACAAATCTTCCAGTGACTGTATAGATGAATGCCTTGAGGGCCCAGCCGGAGCCCAGTACTTGCAGCCAGCCGGAGCCCTTATCTTAAATCCAAGCAAAGTACCATTAATCTTTTTGAAAGACCTTTATGGCTTTTAATGTATCCCAAATTAGAACATTTTACACCCTTGGTTCCTGAAATATGGTGATAAAAAGCCTTTAGAGTTTAATTTTTCCTGCCTGCTCGCTCTGACCTGCTTAATCCCAGCATGCATTAGGAGATATTTTAGTTTCAGTCTTTCTAATAAAGTTTATCCCACTTAATTATAATTGAAACATTTTTTTCCAGCAGGTCTTTTTTTTTTTCAAGTGGCGCAGTGGTGGCACATTTCTTCATTACCTTAAGACTTTCTTTCCCCCTTGATTGTACTCTGAATATTACAAAGAATTACCCAAAGGTTTGGTGAAATTGTTCCAAGTTGTTTATCAAAGTTTGCCTTTGCTTGAATAATAAACCTATCTCAGGAGTGAAAGAGGGGGCAGGATTTTTCCCTTTGTTTCCTGTGCTTCTGTGTGACTGGGGTTATTGGGATTATTCTGCTTCACAATACACACATATGTCTTCCCTGGGATTTGAATGTTTGCCTCTTATAGTCACGGTCATTCTCTTCACTTCTGATTTCAGGGACTGCCTGCATTGCTCCAAAAAAAAAATCTCTTTTACAATTGGAGACGAGTGGAAAACGCCTTTGCAACATTTTTGAAGTGGAGGGGGGGAGGCAGCACAGCTGACGTCGTCTGTCATTGTTTGTTTAGTATTTCATTTGCACATTAAAAAAAGGCATCTAAAAGAAACAGCATTGAGAGGATGGAGGGGGAAAGACTGTAAACTCTAAGCTGAAAAACACAGCTCCTAAAATACATCAAATATATAGTGATGAGAATTTTATTGAAACAGTGCTCATGTTCAAAAAAATAAAATTACGCTTTTTGTTAATATTGTTAGAGACCTGTGCATAATATTCACCTTTTAGTTCTCTACAACATCTTAAAATTTTGCCGTCCTTGAAGAAAAAATGTCACATTTAATCTATCATCTAAAATGTGAGAGAGCCGAGTGACTTTATTCGCGACTCTTTGACAAAATACAAAGAAAACAAGCAGATATTGATATTTTTTCCACTTTTCTTTGTAATCTAAGCAGGTGTTGTCCCAACTTCCAAGTTTAGCATCCATTTAGAAAGTGTGTAAGAAGCTTTAGCTGCTCAGATACATCAAGGAGGGTTCAAATCCTCAATAAAAAAAAAAAGAAACATCGAGTCCTGCTACAGACCTGACTACGCAGGCTTTGGGATAATATATAAAGACAGAACACGTTGAAGCAGATTTCCTCCATGATGATGGGGCAACCCGCCTGTCATGTACCTTTTAAAAAGAGCTGGTCACATATTTTTTTTTCTTTTAAATGCTTCATGACTTGTAAGATATTGTACATCTTATTCATAGAAATAAGCAGGTGTTTGCTGCAGAAGTATTGTTGCAGAGAATTACTTAAATCTACTGTTTACATACTGAACAAGCAGTGGGTTAAATCTTATTATATGTTCAATTCAATTCAATTCAATTTTATTTATATAGCGCCAAATCACAACAAATGTCGCCTCAAGGCGCTATGTTCATCACATACATGTAAAATAGCATTTATTCCTACTGAATGAAATATATAATGTAGGCTTTCGTGGTCACATTCTGTCAAATATGTTGCACTCAGTCCTGACGTCACATATTGCCAGACTTGCTAGACTGCAGGATTGTACGGCATTCACGTGTCGTTTGGTTTAATGACAGTTTTGCTGTGGTGTGGAGGAGGCATCGCAGGCAGCAGAGACTTCGACAAGAAGCCACCCTCACACATCAGTCAGAAGGGGCTTTTTTTCTTGCCACAGACTGATTTTCATTCTCTAATGAGCCTCTCCTCTGTCTGCCTCCAAATAGATGGCCGTGAAAATCGCTCAAGCTGCTGATTGCCGTGACTTTGTGCAAGGCAAACAGGAAGAGGAAGCTTTGAGGGCAGCGCAGAAAAGGAAGAAGCAAATAGCCTGGGGGTATGACGTCTGTCTCTGGTCTCATGTTTATGTTTGCCATCATTTCTGCCATGCGCGACCACTCTGGGTTCAAGTACAGTTAAGATAGAGCCGCCGAAGCCTGAATTAGCTAGTGTGATTGAAGTTGATGGCTAAAATGTATTCATAAGGGCTTCAAAGTTTTTTTTTTCTGTTTTGCAGCTTTGAGGCGAAGAGGCGGTGGGAAACCAAAAGCAACATGGGCTACATGTGACAAACACGGAGGAAGAAGAACAAGACTTTATGTGTGTGTGTGTGTGTGTGTGTGTGTGTGTGTGGCAGACTGATCATGTTTCTTCTTATACTTTTTTGTATATTTTGAAGATTTTACAGCAGCAGCATGGGAGAGGAGAAAAGTCAGCAGTTGGCTGAGAGGAAAAAAAAAAACCCAATCCAAAGAGTAAAAAGGAGGAAAAAAATTATGGAGCATTCAAATTAATTCCTAAGGCACCCACTGGTGTCTGCATTGTGTTATTTTTCATTACATTTCAGTGATTTGAGCGTTCTGCCCCCCCCCCCTTCAAATTAAATCTGGTGTACATTACTGGATGATGCGTTTATTTATTGCTGTAAAGTGGGTTAATCATGAAGGCGCTCTTTTCTTCTTCTGGGGAAGAGAAAGGAAAGATTAGAGCTCTAATGCAATGTACAGGATAATGTGCGATAGGATTTGGGAGTAGAAAATGAAATTTGGCTGCTGTAAACTGTTGTGAGCAGTCGTAAACTGGAAGTTCGAAGCAGAGGCTTTGCTGCTGGCCCTCGCCCATGCTGGGAGACTCGCTATTGTTTCGGAGCCTGAACAAGAGGCGCACGCTGTTTCTCGAAGCATACGCTCGCTGCTCATTGTGTGATGAGCTCTCTTCAGCATCTGTAAACTCGTCTAAAAACCGTTCCTCTCCCTCTTACTTTGATCTTTTTTTCTTCTTCTGCTTTTTTTTTTTTTGATCTGCAGCGCTTGCCTCCGCAGCTACTCAACACTTCTGAAATGCTCATTCAGATTCCAGGAAGTGTTAATTGCAACCAGCAAGCACAATAAAAAGCCGAAGAAAGATAATTACTTTTAGTCATAAAGCTTGATATTTTTTTTCTTTTTTTTAACCAAACCACTTTAAAAGAAAAAAAAAAAAACGACCGCTTTGCTTCAAGGTAATGAGAATTAAAAATTAATCCACCAAAGTTGTTTGCATTTCACATATTTGAGCACTTTGTCCCCTGGTGAGGTGCGTTCTCATAGGCTCACTGCATCGGTATGGAGTAAATTTAACAAAACATCAGCAATAAAAGTTTTTAGGTCATTATGACGCAAAACACCTGAGCTAAAGAAATCCAAACATGAGCTCGAGAGAACTTGGTGAACTTTAAAAAAACAGGCAACTGTTTTGTATCCTCTCATGTCACGTGACTGTGTCAGAGAAGCTGTCAGTTGGCGGGAATTGGTGCTAATTAAACTATTAATTATCTCTGTAATGAGACACAAGTTAAAACTGTGTTAAGCACATCAAAGTACAACATGGGATTTCTTCACTTTGATGAATGCTATGAAAACTATATCTTGACTGAAGAGTGAGGAAACATCAGAGATGCTTCATTAACGGCAGCAGAATTAGGAAGGAAGCAAAAAAAAATGTATGGCCTTTGAAAGTTTTTGGATAAGTGCTTAAGCGCGAGACATTTATTACAGGGAATTACTGGATGCAGGTCTGATTATTGCGTATTTCACAAACATTGCAGAACTTTCCAAAGATAAGAGTGCTCCAAGAAAACCGGCCTCCTTTTTTCGCTGCTACAGGATTATAGAACAAAAAAAAACATCACAGTACGTGGACTTGTATTCATGTAGCCTTATTTTAAAACTAGTTGATGTCAGTGAACATGACCGGTGCTGATCCAAGAGCAGCGCAGCGACGTATCAATAGCATCTCACTTATTAATCTCTTTGAACGCAGCATAATGCCCTGAGCAGAGATGAGTCTGCTTTTAAGCTGGAAAATCCACTTTCCCATCATGTTGAGGAGGTGTTTTCAGTAGTCTCTTACTGGAGGCCAATCTTAGCCCCTGACCTGGGATGATTTGTCGCGAAACGCAGAGACAAATTCCTTGGGCACATGTCGAACCACTTCTAGGAAAACTGTTGTGTAAAGCAGGCTTTGAAAGAAGAAAAAAAACAACCTCAACAACAACAATCCCATTAAATGGTTGGAAAGCTGCTGTTGTATGAAAGGGAACATATGTTTCTGGTAACAAGACATTGGCGCTATCGCTTGCTGCTATCGCCGGCTGGAAGAGGATTAACTCGGAGGAGAGATCTCCGAGATGCTGCCGATAAAGGCTAGCCACGCTGAAAAACACTTCACACCTAGAGCGCGGTGTAGCTCAGAGGAAGGCGGCTTTGTTTGTGTGTTGTTAATTGTTTTCACATCAAATTTTAGCCGCAGCGGTTTTTGGGGGGATTTGTTTCACACATTTTTTTTTTTTTTTTTTTTTAAAGTTCAGCTCCATTTGGAAACCATTAGTTTCCAAATGGAGTGGAGCTGAGAGCCAAAACACCACTTTGGCATTTCATAAAAGGAAAAAAAACCAAACAAACCAAGAGTTTTACATCTTTATTATCAAAGTGTGATGTGTTTTGTTTTTTAGTTTATTAGTGCCTCGTGTCCTATTTTGTTTTGTGCCTCGAGCCAAAGCAGAAGAGCTGTAACGTGTCAGGTTTTATATTTGATATCACGTCAGTTATGATTGTATTCTTGCACACAAGCCCCCCCCTTTCCCCCACACCTTATTCTCAAAGTAACACAGTGGGAGTGACAGACAGCGTGGATGTTGACATATTCCTTGGCTGATTTAATGACCTGCTTAATTCTGGCACGTCGGCAGCCCTCTCAGATGTTTTGCAGTTTTAATTAGTGTAATCGTCGCTCTCGAAAAAGGCCACAGGGTTGTTTAATGGGTCATGTTTGTCAAGATGCACAGAATTATAACACAAAAGACATGCCATTTATTCAGCGCTACACTCTTAGAGTGATTATGGGTGTCACAATTGATAATTAGAGGAAGAATTGATTCATCCGAAAGCCAAAATGAACCTCTGTGGTGTGAGGAAATTAGTTTGACAGTGTTTGGATGAGCGGTGTTTACACTGCAGTGAGGCGGTGTGGGAACACTTCACCACTCTCCTGTTAACCGAGGCAGCGTGCACACACTTAACCGCTGTTTGTGGACGGGAGAGTAAGGAGGCTGGATGTGACATCTGGAGTAGCGACTGGAAAATTTTCAGCTGTGACCAAACTTTTCATGAAATTATCAATGCGCTGTTTCATTCTGCAGGCTCGTGTCACATGATAAGCAGAGGTTATGGTTCCGATTTTCAGGCAGCAAAGAACAAAGTTCTCTGCACAGTTCTCTCAAAGTGTGTGAATTAGGTCAGGCTAACAGTTATGATTTATAAAAACTGTCTAAATGCACTTACTCTGCACTAATTAAAAACTATTCTATATTATGTGGGTTACATATACACCCTCTTAATTGTTTCTTAGTTCAAAACTGCTTCGAAAGCATCTATTTTATCATTTAGCCTGACTTGTAGAACAAAAGAATGAAAGTGAACTTTCAATTAATTTTCTCCCTTTGCTATCGCGAAATAAAAACATTCCCACGCACAAATATGCTGAGCATGCACTCATTACGTATTCATCTTCATTCTGCAAACCACATATTGCATTTTATCTGAATGAATTATTAACCAAGTTAATGAATATTTCATTTTTCTTTATGGAACCATTTAACAGTCCCAACAGAGGTAATGACATCTTAAGCAGAGCAAGTACCTGGAAAAATGGGGAGGAAATTATGTTTTTGACCAGGTTATGTCATGCAACATATACAGATATATTGACCTGTTAAAAGCTTTTATTGTAGTCTGATTTTAACAGTGAGCATGTGGTGATTCAACACTCCCCCTTCAGTCATTGTGTATAAATTTGCCTTTAATGTATAACTTGCACTGACCTAACAAAGGATACAGCCTGATCTAAAGCAGCCGGAGGGGATTTACACTGAGAAAATGAATTTAATGGTGTAATTAACGTTACCTTGATTTGTCTCAGGAAAGGCCTCACTAGCTCCAGTTTGTGTGGTAATTTATTACTGAGTTCCTATGTGAAGAACACGCACCTACAGTACAGCAGGTAATTACAAACACAGGCTTGATTAGAGGTCTACTACTCTAAACTACTCTGAACTTGTTAGTGATCAATTAACACTGGTAAGACTGTAGTAACACGACAGCAGCAATCCCTTCATACTGAGTTAACCCTTATACACAGAAGTCATGTGAACGTTTTACACCAAAAGAATGGAAATAAA